CCATAATGTCCAGGGCCTTGGCTAAAAAGTCTAAAATGATGGGAAGTTATCATCAAGCCTCATTCACTCACATGTGTACCAGTGGATGCCGGCTCTTGGCTGGGTAGACTTAAGTGGCTAGAAAGTAGTTAGAACATCTGCAGGTGGCCTTTCTCTTTTTTAGACTTTTATTGGAGTATAGTCGACTTACAATGCTGTGTTCGTTTCAGGTGCACATCAAGGTAAATCAGGGATACATACGTCCACTCTTTTAGATTCTGTCCCTGTATGGGCCAGTACAGAGCACTGTTATATAAGTTAAATAGACTCCTGTACTAGACAGTAGGTCCTTGTTAGTGAACGACGTTATTTGCAGGTGGCCTTTCTATGTGGCTGCTTTCCCACGGCATGGTGACAGGGTTCCAGTGCCAGAGGAAAGAGGGGAAACAGGGAAAAAGAGACAGTCAGGCCGAAGAGTCATATTTCTGATGACCTATCCTTTTAAGTCACATGGGATTATTTTCACTACTGGTCAAGATAGTTACAGAGATCTGCCTGTATTCAAGGGGAGAGAACACAGTTTCCCATCCCTGAATGGAGTGGCAATGTCATGATGTAAGAACACGAGGGATCAGATGTGCATTGGCATGATTGGCTTTGGAAAACACATCTCCCTGAGCGCTTGATGGCTGTCCTTCTGTGCCCTGCCCCCAGGGAATCCCTCTGACACAGACAGCATCATTCCTGGTTGTACATTCTATAGCCAGTATTCCTTTGTCATGAACAAAGCCTATTTCCCTGGAACTCTTACACTTAGATTTTGATTCTCTGTACTTGGGGCGGTCTATTAATTCCAGTGCTTTAAGAAATCTATTTAGTACCCCGACCTAGTGGGCCTTAGGAAGAATTACTGTGGACAAATCCTGTGGAGGTGATGGAATTCCAACTGAGCTATTTCAAATCCTAAAAGATGGTGCTGTTAAAGTATTCCGTTCAATATGCCAGTAAATTTGGAAAACTCAGCAGTGGCCACAGGACTGGAAAAGGTCAGTTTCATTTCAGTCCCAAAGAAAAGCAATGCCAAAGAATGTTCAAACTACCACACAACTGCACTCATTTCACATGCTAGCAAGGCAGTGCTCAAAATCCTTCAAGCTAGGCTTCAACAGCACATGAACCAAGAACTTCCAGATGTACAGGCTGGATTTAGAAAAGGTAGAGGAACCAGAGATCAAATTGCCAACGTCTGTAGGATCAAAGAAAAAGCAAGGGAATTCCAGAAAAATATCTACTTCTGCTTCATTGACTATGCTAAAGCCTTTGGGTGGATCACAACAAACTGTGGAAAATTCTTTAAGAGATGGGAATACCAGACCACCTGACCTGCCTCCTGAGAAATCTGCAGCAACAGTTAGAACCGGGCATGGAACAATGAACTGGTTCAAAATTATGAAAGGGTTGCATCAAGGCTGTATATTGTTACCCTGCTTATTTAACTAATATGCAGACTGCATTGTGTGAATTTCTGGGCTGGATGAAGCTGAAGCTGGAATCAACATTGCTTAGAGAAATATCAGTAACTTCAGATACACAGATGCCCCATCACTTTGTGGCAAATAGATGGGGAGAAATGGAAACAATGACAGACTTTATTTTCCTGGGCTCCAAAATCACTGTTAAGGGTGACTGTAGCCATGAAATTAAAAGATGCTTGCTCCTTGGAAGAAAAGCTATGACAAATCTAGACAGCATATTAAAATGCAGAGGCATCATTTTGCTGACAAAGGTCCATGTAGTCAAAGCATATGTACGGATGTCATGTATGGATGTGAGAGTTAGATCACAAAGAAGGCTGAGTGCCAAAGAATTGATGCTTTCAAACTCTGGTGCTGGAGAAGACTCTTGAGAATCTTGTGCACAGCAAGGAGATCATACCAGTCAATCCTAAAGAAAATCAACCGAGAATATTCATTGGAAGGACTGAAGCTGAAACTCTAATACTTTGGCTACCTGATGTGAAGAGCTAACTCATTGGAAAAGACCCTGATGTTGGGAAAGGTTGAAGGCAGAAGGAGAAGGAGATGACAGAGGATGAGATGTTTGGATGGCATCACCGATTCAATGGATGTGAATTTGAGCAAACTCCAGGAGAGAGAGAAGGACAGGGAAGCCTGGCATGCTGCAGTTGCAAAGAATTGGACACAATCGAGCAACTGAACAACAACATTTAATCCTCCATGGATTTTTGGTCCCTTAGGCAAACCATTCTGCATTGGGAGGTCTCAATCAATCTTGTACATTCTTCTCTGCACAAGTTTAAGCTGTTTTTTAACCCCTTTAAAGTACTGGCATCCCCAATCAATGAATATATACCCCAGATGTGATTTCTCCATTTCAGTTTAGAAAAAGAAGAGCATCCTTGTTGACTGAGATCCTGACTCCATTTAGTCAGCTTTTATTTTTCATAGTCACAAGGTAGTGTTGACTCATACTCAGCCTACAGTCAACTGAAACCCCCCAATAATTTCATATGTGTTGCTACTAATCTGTGATCCTTATTCTATACTTGTGTTGGGCTTTAATAAGCCAAAGTTCAAACTGAAATTTTCTCTGTTCAACTTTATCTCATTATCTCATCGTTTCAGTCTGTTCAATCCTTATGGATATTGAGCATAATCACATTCAGCAACTTCAGAAAGCTGTTTCCTGAACTCTCTCCTTAAACCACAACCCACATGAGCACAAATCTCCTGCAAGAAGACAGTAGAGTACAGTGAAGGAAGAAACTACTTTGACTGTCAAGGTCATGGGGACAGGAACGAGCTGAGTAGTGGGCTGATCATCTGACTGCATTTGCCTGGGCGAGTCCCAGGAAATCCTTCAGTCCTGCGAAAACCAGATGGTCGGTCACCCTGTGATTAGGATACTGCAGTCTTCTGCTCTCCAGTCTCCTCTTCAATGCTGCAGTGGAGTGAAAATGGCCACAGATTCTTTCACTCTCTTCCTATTGAGGAGTGGAGTCTATATTCCCTACCCTTGAGCCCAGGCAGCTCTGTGACTATCTAGAATACTGGGGAAATGATGCTGTTCCTGTTTCCCAGCTCAGGCTTTAAGACACTGGAAGCTCCCACTTGCTATCTCTTGGAACACTTTCTCCTGGAGCACTAAGTCAGCATGCAGGAAGCCCCAGTACTCTGAGACACCGTGTGGAAAGGGTCACATGTGGCCACTCTCCTCAGCAGCTGGACACAGCATTCTTTCTATCACGTAAGTGAAACTGTCTTGGATCCTCCAAACCAGCTCAACTGAATACCCCCATTGAAATCACGAGGGCCTCAGTTCGGTTCAGTTCAGTCGCTCAGTCATGTCCGACTCTCTGCGACCCCATGGACTGCAGCACGCCAGGCCTCCCTGTCCATCACCAACTCCCAGAGCTGGCTCAAACTCATGTCGGTGGAGTCGGTGATTCCATCCAACCATCTCATCCTCTGTCGTTCCCGTCTCCTCCTGCCTTCAGTCTTTCCCAGCATCAGGGTCTTTTCCAATGAGTCATCTCTTCGCATCAGGTAGCCAAAGTATTGTAGTTTCAGCTTCAACATCAGTCCTTCCAATGAACACTCAAGACTCTTAGTTGGGGCCATATCGAACAGGAGAATTGCCCTGCTAAATCCTATTCAAATTCTTGGCCCACAAAACCACAGGGCATAATAATGAATTGGTTATTTCCTCAAGATGCTACATTTTGGGGTAGTTCGTTATGCAGCTTGAGATATCTGAGGTGAATGTCGAAACTGAGCTGAATAAACCATCCTAATCTTATTAGTCACCAAAGTAAAAGCAGCTCATCTCCAAACAAGTGTCCCACGCAAGATCGATGCCACCCTTGCCTGGCATCAGCAGGCTTCTTCTGAATGGTCAGGCAGTGCAAGGTGGGCGAGGTGCTGGCTGCGACCCCCTGTATCCATTCTCCTGGCTTCCCCTTGGCCATGCCACGCTGGCCACTCCCTTCCCATTGAGTTGGCCTGTCTCTGTGCCATATGCTCTGAAGGCTTCATCTTGGTGAGATTTCCATCTTCCATTTCAGTCTCTGGCATTTCGTTGGCAATAACAGGCTGCACCCCTGCAGGCTGCAGGCCCCACCAAGTGAGTTCTCATTGAGTCTCACATTTATCTAGAGCCGCAAACCCTTGACTGCTCCTTTCCAATTTGACTCCGTGATGGAAGATCTGATTGATGGAACTGTAGATTACTGGAGGGCCAGGGCTGTGTTTTAAGTGTCCCTGGGTCCCAGTAGCTTCTCTTTGGATGAGTGAAGATATCTTCGCCACTCTGGCAGTGTCTGTTAGCTTTGGTCCCTCCCTTGCCTAATCTTTTCGCTTAAGCCCTTTAAGCATCTCCTCATTTCTGGAGCGGTTAGGGCTTAAGAAACAGCAGAGTCTGCTGCTAGCAGGGGACTCTAAAATAAGAAAGGGGCAAAAGGATTCTGCCTCATTTTGAGACTCCTAAGCTTTCGGTTCTCACTGAGTAATTTGCTTCTGATTTTTTTTCTGGTTGAACTCTCTCAAGGTCCTTGAACAGTGGGGAAAAGGCAAGGGACACACGTGTTCAGTTATGATACACCGGAGTGACGGGAAGCAATGGCAGGGATGTAAGGCTCACAGAGTTAGCCGACAGGTGTCCACCGTCCAGGACTGAGCTCCCTAAAGGACGTCGGGTGCTGGAGCTGTAAGGGGCTGATGAAGAAAAGGAGTGTAAGTACCCGGTGACATGCGTGATGATCAGGTGAGAACAAGGATTCCACCTCTAACCTCCCAGTCAAGCCTCGACGCTGCACAATGTTCGAAAAACGCAGGTGTCCAGGTCAAGGTGAGGGCACCGCGTGCCGCTGTCTCCCCCGTCTCCCTCCAACCCCCACGGAAATGGGGACGCAGAAGTTTCGGAGGAAATCAGCGCCCAGCGGCGTGGAGGGTGGGAGCCAGCGTATCATGTCCTGAGACTTGTGCATGACTGTCGGCTGGCAGAACGGGAGCCCACCGCCAGGTGGGAGAGACGAGGAAGCCGCCGCTGCGGGGAGGAAGACTGCGGCTCAGCCTGGAGCGCGGGAACGCTGGCCCCGAGTCTCCAGGGGGCAGCGGTCACCGGGGCGGCATGATAGCCAACGCTGGGGAGGGGTGACTGGAAGGCGGCCTGGGGCAGGCTGTGCCGGTTCCCGCCCCACTTTACCCCCAGAGGCCTCCGGCCTCCCCTCGCCCACGTGCAGGAGAGCAGCCACGTGTTCAAGCCTGGCCAAACCTGGGGGCACGGTCCGCCACCCCGCCACGAGAACGGCCTGGGGAGGGAGCAAGCTCGCCCGCTGGAGGGCTGGGGGCCCAGAGCCAAGGCCCTGCGTGCTGGTGCGTTCTTTCCCCATTTAAAAAAACATGAAGTAGCGCTGACTTACAATGTTGTGTTAACTACCGCGGTACAGCAGAGTGGCTCAGTTATACATACATATATATATACAACTTCTTTTCCATATTCTTTTTCAGTATGGTTAATAATAGGACATTGAATGTAGTTCCCCGTGCTCTAAGTTCAGATGTTGTTTATCCATCCTGAATATCCCAGTTCGCACTTGCTAATCCCAAATTCCCACTCCATCTCTCTCCCTTCTCCGTGCTTCTTGGAAGCCACCAGTCTGTTCTCTATGTCCTTGATTCTGTTTCTGCTTCATAGATGGGTTCCCTGTGGTCACATTTTAGATTCTACGTACAAGTGATATCATAGGTTATTCGCCTTTCTCTTCCTGACTTACTTCAGTTAGCGTGATAACCTCTAGCTGCAGCCATGCTGCTGCGAAGGGCATCATTTTGCTCCTTGTATTACTGAGTAACGTCTGCCGTATATATGTGTACCGCATCTGCCCACTCATCTGTCGGACACTTAGTTCGCCTCCATGCCTTGGTTATTGCGGATGCTGCTGCTGTGAGCATTGGGGTGCATGTATCTTTTTGAATCAGAGTTTTGTCTGGGTAGGTGCCCATGAGCAGGATTGCTGGGTCATATGGAAGCTCTATTTTTAGATTTCTCAGGAACTTCTGTACCGTTTTTCACAGTGGCTGCACTGACTTTCACTCCCACCGACAGTGTGGGAGGGCTCCCTTTCCCGACACACTCTCCAGCAATTGTTACCTGCAGGCTCCCTAACGATGGCTGTTCTGACCAGCGTGAGGGGGTCCCTCGCTGACGATGCCCTTTGGAGGAGGTTCTCAGACTGGCCAGCTCCTGGGCTCACGTCCAAGCTGTGTCCTCACGGGGCCTTTGTTCGGTGCTCACCTCTCTGGCTTGTTTTTCTTTTCCTATGAGGACACTAGTCCTGTTGGATTGGGGCCCTACCCTTAAGACTTCATTTTACCTTAATTACTGCTTTAAAGGCCCTATCTCCAAATGTAGTCACATTCTAAGGTCCTGGGGGCTATGGCTTCAACACATGAGTTTGGGGGGACACATGAAGCCCATTAGACCCATTAGGTTGTCTGAGTAGACCGTGAGACAGCCACACACTGAAGGACCATGCAGCTTTAAAAAAAAAAGTACGAGGAAGCTCCCTCTGAACTGATGTGGGGTAATATCCAAGATGTATTCTTGACTGGTAAAGAGCAAAGTGCAAAATACTCTGTTATCTAGGGAAAATATGTATACATGCAATATAATCTTCAAATAGTCCCTGAAAATGGACTGTTTTCCTACTGGGTTAATGACCACTTCTAATACCTGTCTTTCACCTTTCAGTTCAGTTCAGTCACTCAGTCGTCTCCGACTCTTTGCGACCCCATGGATTGCAGCACGACAGGCCTCCCTGTCCATCACCAACTCCCGGAGTTTACTCAAACTCATGTCCATTGAGTCGGTGATGCCATCCAACCATCTCATCCTCTGGTGTCCCCTTCTCCCCCTGCCCCCAATCCCAGCATCAGGGTCTTTCCCAATGAGTCAACTCTTTGCATGAGGTGGCCAAAGTATTGGAGTTTCAGCTTCAACATCAGTCCTTCCAATGAACACCCAGGACTGATCTCCTTTAGGATGGACTGGTTGGATCTCCTTGCAGTCCAAGGGACTCTCAAGAGTCTTCTCCAACACCACAGTTCAAAAGCATCAATTCTTCATCACTCAGCTTTCTTTATAGTCCAACTCTCACATTCATACATGACCACTGGAAAAACCATAGCCTTGCCCAGACGGACCTTTGTTGGCAAAGTAATGGCTCTGCTTTTTAATATGCTATCTAGCTTGGTCATAACTTTCCTTCCAAGGAGTAAGCATCCTTTAATTTCATGGCTGCAATCACCATCTGCAGTGATTTTGGAGCCCCCCAAAATAAAGTCAGCCACTGTTTCTACTGTTTCTCCATCTATTTGCCATGAAGTGATGAGACCAGATGCCATGATCTTAGTTTTCTGAATGTTGAGCTTTAAGCCAACTTTTTCACTCTCCTCTTTCACTTTCATCAAGAGGCTTTTTAGTTCCTCTTCACTTTCTGTCATAAGGGTGGTGTTATCTGCATATCTGAGGTTATTGATATTTTTCCTGGCAATCTTGATTCCAGCTTGTGGTTCTTCCAGCCCAGTGTTTCTCATGATGTACTCTGCATATAAGTTAAATAAGCAGTTTAGCTCTTCCTAATTAATGAATCAACTAATTTCCATACTTCCTGCAATTTAACTGAACTTTGGTCAGTGGATCTTCTCAAAATTGAGTTAAATTCTAAATAACCAGGATTTTATTGATTTAATGATACTTCTAATTAGTTGTCACTTTCACAAAATCACATGTACTGGTGTTTTTTTTTTTAAGGACTTGGGGATTAAATTTGATGGAGAATATTTTTAGGATTTAGGAATGCTTTAGGCTACAAGCAGCAGAAAACTCAATCATAAATTGCTTAAACAAATAGAGGTTTATTTTTCTCTATAGCAGATACTGCATATATCAGCAACTCAGGATAAGGCTTAAGGCAGACAAGCTCTTTCTGACTTTCTTTTCTATCCACTCAGTCATTCTTAAGCATGTTGCCTCATGGTTGCAAGGTGCCTACTGCAGTTCCAGGCATCACATCTGCATTTAATTCACAAAAAAGGAAGCTAGGGCAGTGAAAACAAAGCCTTCCTCAAATCCTGTAGTAGGCTTTTCCTTATATGTCATTGGCTAGAACTAGTCATGTGGCAACTTTTAGCTGCACAAGATGAGTAATAAGGAAGCAGGATTGTCACAGTGGATCATATCAATCAAGATTGATCACCTGTGGCTGGACATATCTACCCCTCTAACAAAGATGAAGTTTCATCAGTAAGGAAAAGGAACTAACATTTCTGCCATACTTCTAGAGAAGTGGTAAATGAGAGACCATTCTCTCAGTGAAAATCTTACCTTTATTTATCTCTACCTGTCACCTTTTATCTGCTGTGTTTTAACTAACCAGTGAGCCACTTCAAATTCCCCTTGCATCCGTCTTTCTGTACACATTCTGGGTACTCTCTTCCCACTCAGTCCTGTTGGAACTGTGTCTGCCCTGCTGACATCCACCTATTCTGCATATTTTTATTGAAAAGGTAATAATATATAGAAATAGGGGCAAAAAAAAACCACCCTCAAATGTAACCAATGAAACAGCAAAAATAAAAAGCCCTCGCAAAACAAAGCATTGTAAGAGTGGCACTAAAATGAAAAATATGATTGGTGAAATTTGTCTGCATCTGGGTTCTTCGCAAACTCTGGGACCAGAAATCAAATGCAAGCAGATTTTTTGAGAAATGATCCCAGCAACGTTGGTAGGGGGATGGAAAGCAGGAGAGGAAGGGGATGGCTCTCATGAAAGCCACACAATTAAGCCAGGGCTTCCAGGTAACCAGAGCTTAATAGAACCTCCAGGAGTCAGCAAGGAACAGGCACCCCAGAGCTATCACAACCTGGGGGGGAGCTGGGGTGTCTGTCCTTCTACTTTCACTTGTTGACAGGGCTGCTTCAGGGTCTTGGGCATCAGTTCCCTGCACTCGGAGCCTCCTCGGTTTGGGCAGAGAGGGCTCTAACCATCCAGATCAGTGCTTCCTCAGGTAGTTGGAAGGCAAGCCTCGTGCATGGCAACGGCAAGGCTGGGGTGTGTGAGGAAGTCACTGACAGCAGCTGCCGTAGGTGTGCTGTTCTGTGGTTCTCGGATCCCACTGTTCATTGGAAATGATAGTAAAACTATAAGTGACTACTAAAAGGGGTAGAAAAGCAGAAGCGCTTGACTCATCTGGAAACTGAATCACTGAGCATTCGTTGGCTGCTACTTTGGGATCTTCAGAGTTTCCTAAGACCTCAGAAGTGGAGAATAGCATCAATAACTCCCCAGAGTTAGGACACTGGTCCAGGGAGTGATTCTACAAAGACCCACTTGTGAAATTAGAGGAGAACCATGAATCCAGCTAAGGTAAAGAGCACTGGCATTTAATTTACATGAAATTAGCACATTTTTATCTCTGGTGATCCATAGAAGACAGTGGTTGTTGACTAAAAATCCAAAAGCTCTCTGCTACCCTATCCTGGGTTGTTCAATCCCCTAAGAGAGGCAAGATGTCTGGGAATCCTGGGATCACTAGGACTGAACTGGTCTGCCCCAGTGCATATTCTGTTTAATGACTCCACACCTTTGATTACTCAAATGGGGTAGAGGACTCAAGAAATGCATTTTGATAAGGCATTGTGTTTCTTTTTAAAAAACAATTGTATTGAAGTAATAGTTGATTTACAATGTTGTGTTTATCTCTGCTCTACAGAAAACTCAGTTATACATGTATATATACACATAAATTCTTTTTCATATTTTCATTGTGATTTATCACGGGATACTGAAAGTGGTTCCTTATGCGATACACTAGGACCTTGTTGCTTATACATCCTATGTACAGCAGTTTGTATCTACCTCCAAACTCCCAATCCTTCCCCCCAACCCACTTTTTGGTTAACCACAAGTCTGTTCCCCACGGCTGTGAGTCTGTTTCATAGATATGTTCGTTTGTGTCATGTTTTAGATTCCACATGTAAGTGATGCCTGCATGCATGCTAAGTCACTTCAGTTGTGTTGACTCTTTGCAACCTTATGGACCATAGCCTGCCAGGCTTCTCTGTCCATGGGATTCTCCAGGCAAGAATACTGG